TATATATATAGACTTGAGATCATGTGAGACCAATGGTTTTTCATGAGACCCGTAAGACCAATTATCAATCTTTGGATTAGATCTATAATCTGACAATCTAAACATTTATAAACGCCACGAGATTTCTTAATAATTACCAAATTGCCACCGTGCAATTTAAACCGTTAGATCATTAACTTATAAAGTTGATCAATGAACATAAATTGGTCTTACGGGTCTCATAAAAAAACATTTGGTTTCACGTGAACCCAATCATATATATATATATATATGTATATATGTATATGTATATATGGTTGAAGTAAAGGAGTGTGAAAAATCATGTGACTCTATTTAGCCTCCCCCCACCTTTTGTCTTTCTTCCACAAAACCAAAAACACAGACACACACACACACCAGCATTAAACAAAACACAAAAATCCCTCCTTCCCTTCTTCCATAATTTCAATTCCTTTATTCTTCTTCTTCTTCATCCTCTTCTTTCATTGGATTCTTGTTAATTCTACAGTTTCATTATTATTATTATTATTATTATTATTATTGTGTTCTTGAATGGCTGCAAGTGTCTCCAGGTTCATCAAGTGTGTCACTGTTGGTGATGGTGCTGTTGGCAAGACCTGTATGCTTATTTGTTACACCAGCAACAAATTCCCCACTGTAAGTCAACCCATTTATTATTCCTTTTGCATCTGGGTTTCTTCTTTATTTTGCAGCTTTCTTTCAAGATTCCTTTTCTAGGGTTCTGTGTCTGTCTGATGATTTCTTGGCTCCTTTTGCTTTGGTTTCATCTTTACTTTGTAGTCTTGTGAAATTGCCCTTTTCACATCTAGTTTTCTTCTTCTTTTTCCATAAAGAAACCAAAAGGAAAAGGTGAGAATTCTCCACACTTTATCTGCATACTTTTTTTGTAATTTATCAAGATTTGAACCAAGATCACAGGACCAAACTATGGGAGCTAAATCTTAACTGATTATAAACAACTAGATGTCTGTTTATCTTGACTTCTACACTGTCAGTTTAGTTTGTTACAAAATCCTAGAATTCTAGGATTTTGTGTAAACTAAAGTGACAGTGTACAACCCGAGATAACTAGTGGTATAATTGTTTAATCGATTGACCTAGCTATACCCTAGTCCAGTGATCTTGGTTCAAATCTTGATTGGTCACAAAAGGTGTATGGGTGTTGATTTTTGAACCATTTGGTCAATTCAAGGCACTAAAGCTATAAAATTTTAATATTGATGATATAAAAGGAAATTAGTAGGTAGATGGTTCGGATTAGAATACAATGTTTTCGTAAAGCATAAAGTCGGGTTTTCAGAGTCACGTCCACTGATCAGAATCGCATCGGTCTACAAACGATTCAAAGGAAAGGGTTAAATAGAATACCAAGTTCTTTTCTTTTCGGTCGATTACAGTGCTTGTTTTGTGTTGATACAAACAAAATACTAGCAAAAATGCACCAATGGGTGCCTTCTATGAACACCAATCACCCATTACTTGTTATTGATGTTGAACACACACATTTTGTGTGTGTGTTATGACGGTGTATTAATTAATCATAAAATAATTTGATGTTAACCAGGATTATGTACCAACTGTATTTGATAACTTCAGTGCAAATGTTGTGGTTGAAAGCACCACTGTCAATTTAGGCCTCTGGGACACTGCTGGTAAGATTTTATCCACAGTCACAAATGCTGTCATTTTCATTTTTAGAAGGAAAAAACCGCAAAGCGGAAACCGGAAACCGCACCTGAACAATGTGAAATAGTTGATACACGTTGATTTTCTAGACGGTATCAGATTCAAACTCAGGACCTGTAGGTTATGTGACTGATTTGGGTGATGTTTTTATTAACTCATAGGGCAAGAAGATTACAACAGGTTAAGACCCTTGAGTTATCGAGGAGCCGATGTGTTTGTTCTAGCCTTTTCATTGGTTAGTCGAGCCAGCTACGAGAACATACTCAAGAAGGTGTGTCGAGTATAAATTCCCCTTCTAGAATCGTTCGGTTTCATTTTGTTGGTGTTTTGAGTGATTTCTGATAGATAGTCGATTACTTGAGCAGTGGATACCCGAGCTTCAGCATTTTGCTCCCGGCGTCCCTGTTGTGTTGGCTGGAACCAAACTTGGTATGCTGCTTTTTTAAGTCGATAATCATTTATATATGATAAAACTCACACATACTCCTCAACTTTGGTAAGACTTGAACCCTTGACCTCCAGGAATGTCGGGCTCTACCAGTAACTTGGATATTATTGGGCCAATGACCCTTCGGTCAGTATGTTGCTTTTAAGAAGCATGTAGAATGCTCAAAGTTGTTTCGTTAGAACTTTTAGAAATGTGCAACTTCAAAATGATCGATATATTTCTTTAGATCTTCGCGAGGATAAACGTTACTTAGCTGATCATCCAGGTCTAGTGCCCGTGACAACCGCTCAGGTACGCTTTCCGCTGCCATTGCTCCCCGATTAGTACTCAGATTATGGATTTTGGGTAACAATGTGATTAGGGAGAGGAGCTCCGTAAACAGATGGGTGCTGCATATTACATCGAATGCAGCTCTAAAACTCAGCAGGTACGAAAAACTGCTGATTGATATCGTTATTTCAGCGATTATTGCTTTGGATTTTTGATCAAATTTTCTGAAAAAACAGAACATAAAAGCTGTCTTCGATGCCGCGATACGGGTGGTTATCAAGCCACAACAAGCACCAAAGGAAAAGAAAAAGCCACGCCCTGGATGTTTTGCGTTAGTTTCTTAATCTGATCTCTTTGCATCTCGATTTCTTTACAAAAATTCAAACTTCAGGGTTTTCTCGGACTTTTGATGGCAAAACTAGGGATGTAGATTGCTTAATAGGTAATATCGTACAAATTTCATGTCGATCACACTCTTACACAAGTGAAAGATCTTCACGGAAACAATCGTTCTATTCCTTGAGGTAGAAGACATGTTTGCTTACATCCCATCCCTCCTAGATTCTGCTTCTAAGTGGGATATTCATAATAGTTATGTGGATCAAACAATTTGCACACATTCACATTCATTTCCGAAGATCCTTCTTATAAGCTTGCCTCGTAAATAACCGTAATATGTTTTGCCATATAAGAACCTTCTAAAACCGAAAGATTCATGTAGCAAAACTAGGTTTCAGGCGAGTTGAGCTACTTAGAATTGGATCACAAATTTGATCATTCGGCCAGATATCAAGGTATATGATCTGATAAGCAATGGCTACCAGACTTTCTGGCCATCTACTAAGAAAAACTGGGTAAGATGCTCTAACTGTGCAAGTCTCTCCAGTCCTACTCGGTTAGCATCTCGGTCAGCAACATTTGTTGGTCAGAAGGTGTTTGTAAACAACAGTATCTCTTACCCTATAAGCACTACTTATCCCGTGACAGACTATAAGCAATTGGTAAACAACCCCTTAAAAGACGACTTTTTGACTTTTCCCTTATGCTGTCTGCTTTTTTGTCTTGTAAAGTAAACTTTCTTCATGTATCTGTATGGTAATTGGTAAGGCTGCATATGGTACATGAGACGGGACTGGACAGCAGAACAAAACTCACCGTTTCGGGACGGGTCTAGTCCAGTTCTGTCTTGTTAGAGTACCAAACGCTACCTAAAGAGGATTTATGAGCGGGCATCAGTGGATATAAACAAATGGTTAACTAGAATACTTCGTTCAGTTTTCTGTTGTGATTGTATGTGTACTGAGATTAGAAGCTAACTAGTTTTGATGGGATTGCAGAAACATGTTCTGCACAAGGAAACTGACTTGCCTGGGATAAGACAGATTCTGGATTCATTCATCTATTCTTCAGCTCCAATGTAACTTAACATGCAACTTTGATCGAATCGGCTGCCACTGTTAGTAAATAGGCAAGCAGAGAAGCATATTCGTTGGATATGTCCATCACAATTTATGTGTGTTTTTAGCTTTAACCATTTTGTATAAAAATCAATACTGAATAGGTGCTTGTAATTCAGTTTCTAGATATATTGTTGTTTCTAAAGTAAAAAAAAAAAAGATTTACAGAGAAAACCTCAGGGACACCAGGATAGAATTATGATGTCCTAAATTTATCGTGGAAATATTATCTGTTTGTTGATTGATAGTCCCCATAACCTAGAGTTGAAGACCATCGATAGCAGTTGCACAACACTTGGTTCATGTTTGTACTTTAAGATATATACTTTTGATACTAAGGGGTCATTTTCAAACAGAAATTGGGTAATCGCTAACCGGGTAAATGTGGTCTGGGCCAAAACTAATTACGAACCGAGTAACGTCCCCCTGTTAGCTTACCATGTCAGCATCATGGAGAGGTAAGAGGGACTTGGTAAAGAATCTTTGACTGTGTAAGAGTGGTAAGCAGGAAGTAACATGCTAGCTAACTGAGGCCAGGACCAGACAACTAAACCAGAACCCAACTATAGCTGGACCACAAAGCTAGAGCCCGACTAGGCAACAGTTGCTGGAAAACTAGCCCCAGGGCATGGGTGTCAAATATGGGCTATCTTTGGACATAATTGTTTACAGTTCAAGCTATCAATTGGTCATGCCTAGCAAAAACTTTTTGCACTCACCTAAAAATTATACACATAAACTGGAGTGTTTTGTTGCCATCTGCTATGAAGTCGTAAACTCGTAATCATTACAAGCTATGTCCTTCTGAGATGGGGCAGGACTGAGTGACACCAAAATATGTGGAACAAAAAACAAGGAGATGGGACAAGACTGACACATTGCCAAACTACCAATGTCAGAAAAAACTCCGAAACCTTCCACAGTTCTTTCACCCGCCTACCTCACTCTCGCTTGTCCAGTCCAGTCCATGTATCATAGTCTCCACTGCATGTTTGATGATTGTCCAAGCTTCTACACAATTCAAATGCACAATGGCACATCACACTCTTTTACCTTCTTGGTCTGGAAACCGAGAAGATGCGTTGCCTAGCTATCTTTGTATTTTAGTGTTTGTTTGCATCAGGCCTCTTTGAGTGTGCATGAGTGATATTATCAAGCTTCAGTTTAAAGCTTATACTTTAGGATTCATTTACATTAGTTACTATTATCATAAAAAGTTGGATCCATTACACCTGAACGATATGTGATGACGATGGCAACATATAATTCTTGCAACTATGCATTCCACCAAAACAGAGAAAATTTTGAGCTCCATTTGACCGTTCAAATTGTGTAAACCATGGTAACCATACCTGATACTTCGTTGACGGATTTCAAGTAAACTCATATCTCATAAACAAGAATAAGATCATATGTTATAACTAGCATAATCTTTTGATTGTAAGATTGATGGTTTCGAAAAAGTTTGTTTTAAATCTAAAAGTTTAAAATAGTGATGAAAAACTTTAACATGTGGTGAGATGGAAACTCAACTGATTTATATTAACTTACATAGAGTGTTATTTAGAATAATTAACATTGTGACTGTAAATGATGTCAATCGGTATATCATATAATGTTTTTTTATGGTGGAACGGATTGACGATGATATGGTAAAATAATATTAATTTAAAATAATTATTGATTGATTTCACGTTTAGGAATACTCCGAAAAACGGTTTTATATGAATTATAGTAGTTTTCTTGAATTAAAAATGTTATTTCTAATGATAAAAATGACCTATTAAAAAATCGTACTTATCAAGGGAGTTTTTTTATATCTCATCCAAAGCCTATAAAATATCAGGAACAAACCTATATTGAACAACTATAAATGAAATTATTTTTTAAATTTACTAAAGATGTTGAGTGATGGGCATAGAAATATAGAATTGTTTTTAGGTTTTAGGACGTGGTCGTCTTCATGTCATGGACTACATTCATTTTGAGGCAGTTTCCATGCATGCCCCTTCTTTTTGCGGATGTTAGCAATCAGTTCTTTCTTGAATTACCTCTATTTTATATATATAAGGGTCCATTTAAAAAAGAACTGATTAGTTTGTGATAACTGTGAGATTCAATCTCAACTACAAATCAATGGATAAATTAGAAAACTAATATTTTTAGTAATTTGACTTAAAATTATAATTAAAGAGCATTTTAGATATTTTAAAATTTTTATCTCTCATCTCTCTAGCTCTCCTACCTCCGGTCTCGGATGAACACCATGTGATACCCAAATTACACCAAGATACACTATGTGGTATTCAAAATACATACAATGTAATACCCAAAACACACTAAGTAAACTTTGAGACCACTGTGATACAAATTTTATCATTGTGATACCAACTGTGGAGGGGATGGGGGAAGGGAGATAGGTAGTGTGGGGGTCACAGGGACAAAGATGGGGCTAACTGTTAAGAATGCTCACAGGTGGGTGTTTAGTGGTCGATCATTGGAGACGGCGTCTTGGTCAGACAAGATGACTGGAGGAGGTCACCGGAGTCCGGAGTGATGATGGGTGCCGAAGAAGGCCACCGGATTTGGTCCCTATGTGTTTGTGTGTGTGTGTGTGTGTATATATACATATATTAAAATAATTAAACTAACTAAAGTAGGAATATTAAACTAATTAAAGTAAATTATATAATCAACACAATTTACTCATTTACCCTTTGTTTTATTTTAGTAAATAACATTAATTATCTAAAATGATTGACTCATATTGAACCTCACAGTTGCCACAAACTATATAGTTCTCACAATGAACTGAACAACTTTTTTTGTGACGATGGTCAATGACAACGAATTTTTAAGCTTACTTGCTGATAACGTGTTATAGAATAACAGAAAAGGAACAACAATAGAATAGTGAGAAGGAATATGTAATCTCATTAATCATAAGCCCTTTTTATAGGGATGAGTTACAATTAGATAACTGCGAGATATTTCACTTCTAATTTAACTCTGATATATCTATCTCTATCGTCATATCATTTAGACGTTGACACACTTATCCTACAACATAATGGAGTATTTTTCTTTCTATTTGCTGTTGTTGCTCATGCTCTTAGCTCCTGCTAGTTGCTAGTCTGAATATAATACAGTATATCTCTACAAGCTTCAACAGAGTACCTACATTTTTCAGCTTCAAGGATGAACCTATGTCATCCACTTCCTCACAAGAACATATTGAACACAAGGCACTACTTTCTTGGTGCTAGTTGCAGCTAAAAATGTTTCTAAACTTTATTTTGCATATATAAACAAGAGAAGCTGACTGACTCATAGTCCACTCTAATAAAGTGACAGATGTATATTCTTGTGGCATTTGCAGACTCTTGGACCAATGACTTCTAAGATCCGGAATGACATGATAAACCATGCTCAGAAGTCCGATGGGATGTTTTTGTACCTTGATCCAAGTAATGAACGACATGTTGTGGTTCTCGATGTCAAACTACAATTAAAGGGATTAATAGCAGACCCTCATCAGTACTTACTGGTTGACCACCTATCTGACAAACAAAAGGCAAGACACTCTCTTTCTATCTATCTACCTATCTATCTATCTATCTAACTATCTCCGCCCATGATTCATTTTAATTGATTCTATTAACAGGTAGATGCCCAAAATTTAGTAAATTTTGCATGTGAACACTTGGAGGTGCTCCACCCTTTTGAAGATAAGGCTTCTCTCATAGAACATCTCAAGTCAGGCACTGGTTTCAGCTCATTACCTTCTGCCAATCAAAGTTTGGGGACTTCCATGGTAATTGATAGACCACCAAGACCCTCTTCACAGACTACTTGTTCATTCCCAGTCTCATTGGAGCTCCAAGCAATTTGGATAACTCGAACTTGCACATGGCCCAAAGCAAGAACCAGGCACCTGTAGTAAGCTCTCAATCTGAATGGGGGAAAGAGATGGTCCCTTTAGATGAAGAGATGACTTACTCTACAAATTACTATCAGGAGCATATTTTGTTGCATCCGCCCAATCTTGAGAGTCCAAATGGGAATAACTTTGGGGCTGCTACTGAAAGGCATGCACATAATCCTACAGAGCCAGGTACCTCTTCTCAGGTTGTTGAGTCTCTACCCAATACATGTGGGATTATGAATGCATCAGACATCTTCTGTCAGAGTCTGGGAGACTTCCTGGATTTTGATTGCCTTAGACTATGATTCTAACATTCACCTTGAGATTCTTAATAACGAGTGGCATTCTAAGCCAACAAATTCTGATGCTAGTGCTCTGATGGTGGCTGTTCAGACTGTTTCTGCCTGTCCTATTGCCCGTACAAGATGGACAAAGGTGTCCAAACTGCTAAGGTGGAACTCACTGAGGGAAAGGATCAGCCTTCCAGAAGGGATTCAAGCCCTCAAAAAGCAACGGTGTTATTAGATGGCATGGAATCACACACTTCTTTCTTTCATTGCTTTCTGATGAATCCATGTACAGTTGTACTATTACAAGAAGAAATCTCATGTTCCTTCTTTTTTTTTTTCCTTTTCTTGGGAGCATAGTATTGATGCTTTTGTCTTTGTAAATTGTACATAGAGGTTTTAATTTATTGTTTTGAACTATCGAAAAGCACATAACCATTATTTAATGTATGTATATATACATAACTTCCACTATTACAGATGTTGGCATGCGGCTTTTTATACTTGATGTAAAACATGTAATTGTTACTGTACGGCGTCTAAGCAGACAGAGTCATGCCTTTAAAATTTATGGACATGAAATCTTGCCTGAACGTAGATTATGGACACAATAAGGAAGAGCTCTGAAGTTTATATCCTACAACTCTTGCTGTCATTGCATGTTTCATCCTGTCAATTTTGAAGAACCAATAAATCAATATCATACTGTATCTATTTATTGATAAATTAAACAAGCACTCTAAACTAGAGATCAATGTATAATCTGACCTTTTTCTTTCTAGCCTCCAAAACTTCTACTAAAGGTGGTCGACCTGAAAACAATAACGTTAATCAGTATGTAGAAGAAAACCAAGGACATATGCACGACTCTAGGTCACAAACCTGTGATTGGGAGACGATATTTAGCCCAAACACCATAAACAGCATCAGCTATTGTTGCAACCTGTCAATAACATGTTTTGGGACCAACATAATTTAAGGATCAACACCCATCACAGGATAAACAGACATCAAAGTAGGCAGTTCCACCAACAAAAGCATTATGGCTGCAATTTGGTAAAGATGACTTACAGGCTCATACTTAGTAATTGCATAAACCCATCCTAGATCAACTGCTTCGTATAACTTTCGGAATGCCTGCAGAATTTCAAAAGCTTGAGATGCCATTTCTTGACAGGAAAATGTTTGCAAAGAAAAGGGAGAAGATCAATAAGCTAATAACAAGTGATATTTGTTCCGACTCCCAGCTAAAAAACCAAATCAAACAATCCCGGTAAATCCCATACAGAGATAGGGTCTAGAGTATAATGTGCAAATGATAAAGGCCCAATTAAAGTATATGTGAGAAGAAGGAAACAGGCCACAGCTGCCGATATGGGCCAGCTGAATTCTGTTCTTGGGCTTAAGCTGGATCCACTCGGTCTAGAAGTTAGCGGTAATTTGAAAGAGTGGGGAGCAGTTACTATGCCTAATTAGTAGCAGGAAGATGAAAGGGKGAGGAGTTACTATGCCTAATTATTAGCGGGTAGATGAAAGGGTGAGGAGTTATTCCTCTGCCTACTTAATGTCGTGGGTTATTTAAAGCAGGCTTTTTACATTCGTTATTTTTCATCCTTGGTTTTCATTATCAAAGTATTGTGTAATTGGAGACATTGCCCCTCTCGAATCGGGCCGATTATTTCAGTTCCAATCAAAGTTGCCTGCTTGAATTTTAGATCTTATCAGCAAACCTTGCCTGTTGTTTCCGTGAATAACCCAGCTTGCAAAACGAAAATTTTAAATTTTTTTGCCAGCAAGCTACACGTGAGGTTGTTCTGGTCAATATTACTAGTCCTATCTTTTTGGTTGAGACTTGAGATCAAATATCCTAGTACAGTTATTAGAGCATCTCAAACAGGTTCTCCAAAGTTTTCTTCAAACCGGAGAAGCAAAACTCAAAATCTCTAAAACAAATTACATTCAACTCCAACAGATTCTCCATGGAGATTGCAACATTAATTATATTATTAAATTTTCTATACATTTCATAAAATATTGTTTCTCTCTCATAAACATTTAATTTCAAGGTTTCTTATTGGTGAAAATATAATAAAAAATTGTTTCTCGTATTCATTTTTGGAGAGCTCTCCAACTTTGGCGAATTTCACACTTTCTCATGTTTTCTCCATTTTTTTAGAATCTGTTGGAAATTTTTTTTTGCCCAAAATCTCCATTTCTCCATTTTGGAGAATCTGTTGGAGATGCTCTTAAGTGAGAATCAACATAATATCATTTCAATACGGGTAGGTTCATCCACTTTCTTTCTTTTATGACTGCAAATAAGATACGTTAAAAAAGCTAAGTCCTATAAAGTTAAGACGAGAAAACATCAATGCTGAGCAACACTTGGAATAATAGCATATCGGTAAAAGAAGAGCATACCTCAACGCTAGTGACTACAGTTCCATCAGACATGATTGCATGAATCGTTCCCATAGCCTAAGAATGTCGAAAGATTGTTAATGTTAAATCTACGGTGCATAATAATAAGAGGAATAGCAGTGAATACCATAAACATGGATCAGGATGTTGACTAACATACAGTTTTGTAGTCGAGGCCTTGATTATCCTCCGGAGAATAATCATCTGAACTTATATCAACAAAGTTGATTGAATTGTATTTCTTATTCCTTTCCTTTAGCATGTTAACCTAACAAGAAACATAATTTAGTCTAAACAATGTGTACCACACAAAGAGCACTGTCTTTGTATAAGCCTATCCCCACCCCCATAGCTATATGTAGAGAGGATTGTGTGAGAATTGACATTCTCATAGTTTCATACATGACAAAAAGGTTTGGAATGTGAGAATAAATCTCAACTGTGAAACTGGATGAGAGGGATCTGATCAACAAGGTGGCTACCACTTCTTTTTAGAACAAAAAATATTCTTCCCCTATTTTTCAATCGAAAATAGGTGAAATATTACCAAAATCGGAGCCAAACAAATTATACCAATAAAACGAGCATTTTATTCTCTTTAATTTAACATTCATATCGTATACCTTTTCGTTTGTTTTTTCGTCATCCTCACCTTCTCAACCTTTTGTCATTCTCATTTGAACTTGCCCTTATATTATGTACGAGAATTAGAAGTGCCATACCTCACGCATGCAAAGTGGACAATCACCATCATAAAGCATTTTAACCTTCCACTCAGGGGGAGATTGCCCACGCCCACCATTATCCGCTTTCATGGGAGTTATAGGGTCTGTTGTTGCCTCTTGTATTGCTCGAACAGAAAATCTGTATCCTGTAACCATTGACAATCGTAACATAATGAGCGTATAAAATAAATAACCCCTACAAATTGCAAAAGATATGCTCATGTAATCATGCTCTCTCATTCATTCCAAAGGCCAAACTTGCTACTCAAGCAAATGTATATACTACAAAAAGTTTGACAGTTTCAACCCCAAAAATATGCTAGGGGTTCTCTAAATATTCGTGAAAAATGTAATCAGAGGGCCAAAAATCGTTTGTAACAGACTGGAATGGGCAAACGCTATTCATGTTTACCTATAATATATTGATGGTTTTGAAGCCGGATCTCCAGGTAGAGGTATAATGGATGTTTCATGTGATAGGAAACCAGACTTAGCAGCATTTATAACTAAGTTAAATTTCGCAATGAATACGTTTTACATTTGAAACTTTCGAATCCGATTCAACAAAAGTTAAATTTCGCAATGAATACGTTTTACATTTGA